TAACTATTTCTTCCTTGAGTATTAATTAATTCCTATTCATATTTCATATTAAAATTGTGAACATTACTTAAAGGATCAACTAGTTTTGTTTCATATATTAATTATTACTAGAATTGATCGATTAATACGCTTGTTATTAATTCGGTTCATTCACGGTAGTAAACTTGGATTATTAATGCATGTGTCTCATGGTTAATAATCTAAGTGGAATTAATTATGTTGATTAAACCAATAAACCGCTTGTGTTGAGGTTATCAATCTCAATCGTTTTCATCTTGATTTTATTGCTACTATCGGGTTGATATACATCGCGTGTTCTATATTAACTCGGTAGTAAATTTTATTAATGAACGCGTCTCGTTATTAATAACTACCCTCGATGAACTGGATATACTCCTCGATTAAGTATTCGAGAGGAAGATAGTTAAAGATATAACCGAGATCGACGAACATTTCATTAAGTGGATAAAAGCAAAACCAAGTCTTCATTTCTATTAAAGTTCATCTTAGTGCTTAAATACATTTTAAATTCATTACCCAATCAAAACCCCCCTTGTTACTATTCATATAAAAGAAAAGTATTCATTTCCCTGTGGATACGAACCTTACTTCAATATACTACGTATATTTGTTGTATTGTATTTATTTTGAGTGCACCTCACGACAAAGTGCACGTCAAAACCTGAAGCCACTTCCTCCCACGTCATCGTTCTCTCCATCTTCTCCATTGTGTCTCATCGCTATCTGGACACCATGGTCTCTTCTCAGGATGAAAGAGAATGTCGTTGGGATTTGGAAAAGAGCGGATAATGCAACACCGAAAGACTCTAGGGTAAATTTGGAAGATAAGGAAAAATATGGTCCTATTTAGGAGTAAACGCATTCTAGGTCCTATTTAAGTATATACGGATATTTTTAGTCCTATTCTTAACCATTTCTCTTTATTAAATGTGTATTCCATATGTATTTGAGTAGTCTAATTTTCATATGCATAGAAAATACATTAAAAGCATCTTGAGTACCCAAAACCAAAAGAAAAAATGTTGAGTCCCCAAAAGCAAAATTAAAGGAAACTTTAGTCCTCAAATTTATACCTAAAAATTAAGATTCAATTCCCCAATGCAGATTCAATTGGATTCGATTCGAGTCCCCCAAAGGCATAAGACCTGTTTTGGGGGAGAAAAAAAGAAGATTCAATTTGATTCTAGGATTTTTATTCTTACTCCTATTGAATAATGTATTTTATACTTTTATAATTGTAGTGTCTACTATGTGATTAGCTAGTGGATATATGTATAATAAATAGATTTTCAAATTACATAATAATCCCTTCAATTATGAAGAGTATAGAATACATTATAACAGTTGAGGGAATAAAACAATAAAGTTTTATGAACCCACCAATGCAAACACTTATTTATAATAATTGTTCAATATAATAATGGGGAATTTTGACATTGCACATCACTTTATAAGTGATACTGAACTTTGCACCCCATTTTCAAAACGTTTGACTTTGCACCTCATTCAGAAGTATTTCTTCAAAAAATGTTATATGTAAGGGTGTGAAGTTACAGTTTTTTTTAAAATGAGGTAAAATGTCTAATATCACCCAAAAAGTAAGACGTAAAGTCAAAATTCTCCGTAATACATAATATATGATGTTGCATGTCGTGCAGACAAACTAGCTAGTCTTGGCCATTATGTTTCTATAATTGGTTTTGCATTCCTTTGAGCCCAATCATGAGAACGTGTCGGATGATATGGTATACTACAAATGCATAACTTCGCAAAACTGCAAAAGCACCTTGGATCAAAACAATCCGAATCTTTTTCACAAGGATAGGTGACATTCCGTGCATGCATTTGTAACAAGTAATGTATCTGCAGATTATGATACCACAATTTACATTACATACTCACATACACATGATAAAACTTTTTACATAATTGAACGTCATAAATTACCAACAATAAAGTTTAATTTAATACACCCGTCCGGTTCACAGTTCACACCTACTTCTGAATACATGCATTAATTGAAATACAATATTTTTTAATAAGAAAAACACGAAATGAATACAAGTTATTGCCTCAGTCTAACAATATAATGACTTAGAAGTTTGTTTTTGTCAACACCGGTAATGGAGTTAGAAGTTTCGTATTAAGAGAGTTGTGAAGGTTAACCATATACTATTAGAAGGGACGTGGTTCATACGTAGTTTTTACTTATATTTATTTTTATAATTTATTAAAAGTATACTTTTTTATAATTTATATGTATTTTTACTTATACACACACATGCATATTTTTGGAGGGCTGGGGCCTTCTCCAGCCCATGTCTGACTTAACCATTGATCAACGTAGTTTGATTTTTTTCTCTTATTTAGGAAATCGTTTTTTATCGATTGTATTTTGCAAATCTATAAAACTTCTAGTGTAGTTTCTTAATATGTAACTTTAATTATTAAAATATAGTATATTTAACAATTATATTTGCAAGAATATTTATTTTTATTTCAGTCAATCTTAAAACCCTCCAACTGCAGATCGATTTAGAACGGAGAGAGTATTATAGAATATAAATGAGAATATATGTTTCGATCAATCCAAACAATTAATTGATACATAGTATAATTGTTAATTTGTTGAAGAGTAGTAGCTGACTTACGAAATCCGACCACCATGAGAATCAAGAGTGAGAGAGGAGATAGCATTTTTGGAGCCATGGAGAACGATTTTTCTGGCAAGAGTGTTTCTCTTCAAAGAAAATAGTATAATATGTTTTTTCAATTATTTGAGTTGATTACTTATAGCATTGATGATCGATAAATAAAGTAAACGTTATCCCATTATTAGAAAGTATTTGAACTATTGGATATAAATATTTTAAGATTTAAAGTACATTCCATATTTGGAAATGCGGAAATGATAAGATCACATACGTTGTACTTTATTGTGCATTACTAGATTTGTTTAAGAAATAAATCATTCCACATGTCGTCTTCAAATTTTACCGTAAGACGATTATACCATGCATGTGCATGATATACCTGTCTCAATACAGTACCATATTTTTAATCTATAATTAAAAATAATTCAAACCTTCTTCCCTTGTCCAAAAAGTTTTTCTTCTTTTTCGTCAATATCTCTAGTCATCCCTTTCCTAGATTTTGTCTCCCCTTTTCCTTTTCTTCTTCAATTATCTTTTTCACTCATCAAAGTATTAAGAATCTGACCACAATTTCATTTTTCTTCGTCTTCAAAATTCTAATATTGTTTTCCTTTTTATTTTCTTTTTCAATTATCTTCTTCTCCTTCATCAAAATATTAATAATCTAACCACAATTTCGTTTTTTCATCTTCAAGATAAATCTGGGATTTTTATCCATAAATCAATTCCAAACTAAAATTTTATTAATATAAAATAAAAATTTATATTTGTATTTTAAGACCTGCAACATTGCTTCAAGTTATGTAGTATGTATCTTATAATATTAGATATAATTTACATTTCGACTTGTCTCAAGTTACATTTCACCTAAAGTGATTTACATTTTGACTTGTCTGAAGTTACATTTTCATTAACGTCATTTGCAATTGAACTTGCCTCGAGTTATATTTTCGTTATCGCTACTTACCTTTGAACTTTCCTCAAGTTACATTTCAATTAATGCAATTTACATTTCGACTTGCGTAATCAGCAAGTTACATTTCAATTAATGTGATTTACATTTTGGCTTGTATGAAGTTACATTTGGACACACACGGTGTACATTGCATATATGAAATGTGAGAGAATAACTATTGGAGTGAGTAATGAGTTATGCGGCTTACACTCTAGTGCACAAGTTATATTTACCGCTAATTTATTAGCCTATTGTTCTGACCAAAATATGACTTTTGTATTGATCTATGAATTAAGGAAATACTACGTATTAAATTAAAGGGAACATGCAAGAATATAAGTTAATCTAAACGATAAGAGCAACTTCAATAAATAAAGGTATTTGATGTGGACAGAGTATTCAAGGATAGTGCTTGATTGCTATTAAGCGATCGTAAATGATCGTAAAACTAAAAGATGGAGTCCCCATAGTTGAAGCAGTAAAGGCTCGTGGTGGTTTTTTAGGACAGTACTAGAGGTCTGGAAGGTGTATATGAGTAATTACGAGGCTAGGGTGTTACAAATTGGTATTAGAGTCTATGATTTTCAAATTGGGGATTTTCGAATCAAAGTTTCCCTTCAGTGACTATGGTTTTCAAAAAGGAGTTCCTAACAGTTTCTGAGATTTACTAAAACTCCAATCAGTGATACCAACAAGTTGGTTTCAGAGATTTTGTTTTCTAAAATCTTTTGAAATTGTGTCTAAAAATTTTCTCAAATGTTTTCTATGAGCTGATACAGGTTTTCTAAAAGATTTTCAAAGATACAAACTTAGAAATGATAATCAGACTTAGGAAATAATAAATTTAGGATCGTGGTGAGCTTGTAAGATTTTTATGTTATGCTTGCATGGAATTTTGTGAATTATTATAATTACTTGAAATAGGCTTATGTGCATATTGCACGTATGTGTTTTACTTTGAAGAATGTAGTATAGGAATGTCCTAATAAAATTTTAGTGTTATGCGTCTGGGACGAATTATTCTTTTATGGAGGGTAGAATGTGACACTCCTTAAATTTAAAAAAAGAATTTAATATTAACTAACATGTGATACCTACTAATTGTATTGTGGATGATGGAGTATATAGACTCGGACCCCCGGGTCTCACGATTATTGGGTCTGGACAGCGGCCCACGTACACTCAGCTGATAGCATTTTCATTATTGTACATTATTATTCTGGTGTTCTAGATTAGCCTTTTATATTATCAGTCCATTTATGTAACCGGATCTGTCAGGCCCATATTAGAGGCCAGACCCGAATATTCTTCTATATATACTCCCTTAGGGAGTTTTTGTAAACCTAATTTACAACTCATTCATACATTACTATTCATTCATCTTCTTCCTCACATTAGCTCAAATCTCTCCATTTTATTATAATTTGGATATCCCTATAATCCATAAATGGTGCTTTCATTGAGAGTTTTGAGCAAAAATCAAGTGAGAAATCCTCCCAAAAAATATCCAAAGAATATTTCATTCACAAAAAAATCCAGAACAAAATGATCTCGAAAATGCAAAAAAAGGAGGAAGAATTTGCAATTTCAGATCTGAGAAGTCCCAGATCTGACCGCAAACGGGCCGTCAGTCGCAGCTCCCCTCTAGTCTGGTGAGCCCTTGCAAGTTTCTGCCATTAAATGGCCACAAGATATTGCCATTTTGCCAGTAGGGAGCCCTTGCTCCTTGCAGAGTGCTGGTCAAGATATCGTCGGGCGAGAGTAATTTCGCACAGAGCAGCAGTAGATCTGACGACCGAACCTACACTTTCCGGCGACATCCATGGAAGAGGATCGATCATATCTCCAGGCGCCCAGCGGAAAGCCATCGACTGTAGTTCTCGACTAGCAAAATGGTTGCCAAGCTGGCAAGCTCCTCTCCTGCAACGCCATCTGCAGTAGCTAGCCGTCGCGGCTCGCTTCCTCTTCCCAAGAAAGCCAGGCAGGGATGATTTGGTCAAAGAGGAGTGATTACCCCATAATCCATTTCCGGTGGCATGGATTTCTACCAGCTGGATGGACAAGGCTTGGATTAAAATTGATGGGCCAAGACTACACGCAGTCCACGACTTCAACATCACAGTGCATTTATCCAGCTCATTCAAAGCTAAGTACTCCTAATTTCCCTCCATGGAATTGATATGTGAACTTATTTGATAAGATGATTATAAAAAAAATCATAAATGAAATATTTTAATAATATAGCATCAAACTTCAATCTCGAGGGGTGAGTCATCCGTGAAAAGACCCGTAAATAGTGTCTAGCGGATCCCAGCTAAGAACTTGGGTGACGAGTTGAGCTAGATTATTAATTTATTATCATTATTTTTTAAATAGTGTGTATTTTTTGACATTGAAAAAATGGACTTATGAAATTCCGAGCACTCGCGTACACCGGGCGAGCACACACACTCGCGCCACCGGGTCACGTCAAACGAGTGTGGATAGTAAGCTCTCAATCCAAATGTTATCTAATGCATACTTTAGTTTCTATGTTTTGTATGAGTTATGTGTGCCCTCTAGCTATCGGAAATGAACTGCAATCCCTCAGCGGTAGGTTCAGTCCTTTATGCGTGCCACGCTCCAACTAAGTATAGAAACCTAGCTTGAGTTGCAGCTTGGAAATTTGCGGCAACTTGATTTAGGCCCAAATCCAATAGCAAATTATAAGCTCAAGAAATTATAACAATTTTATTTGAATGCATAGGTGCAACTATATGATGACATCATACCGGCCACTTAGCCGTCTCTCATGGTCATCTTTATTTGATGGCTTGGACTTCTTATAGACCTCTCGGCCACACGTCTCGGTCACTTTATTTGATGACCCGGACATCATATTATGGACGGCCACTCGACCTATCTCTTAGTCATCTTTATTTGATGACTAGGACTACTTATCATGCCGAGCTACTCACATCTAGAGACTGGTCTCGGCCATCCCCTCAGGAGACGGACACCGTTGCAGCTCCACACCTAGGTCGAAGGGCTCAACCCTTTTGCTTCATTTTGGGGGCATCCGGTGTACTCTTTTCCCCCTCATTAGGATTTTTTCCCACAGGGTTTTTTCTTAATGATGTTTTTAATGAGGCATCTCCCCATTGTGGATCAAAAGGTGTCAGCCCTCGGCCCCCTGTTGAAGACATCACGCGACACGCATTACTCTACTCCTCTTCACCTCACTACATTCACCTCAAGGAGTGGGGGACTGGAAGAGCGGGGGACTTAGCGCCTCCGTTAACCAAAGAAGCAGAAATTCAAAAATTTTCACGAAGTTTACTCATCAGATGATATGTTGAAGATCATTAAATTGTGAATCAAGTTTGTCACCTATCTTGTTATAGATTAGCTTTATATTATCCGTGTACTCAATATTTGTGTTTATTAGGTTAAAGAATATGGGACCAAGTGTCAGGCCCATATTAGGCTGAAAGCCTTTTCCGCCAACCCTATACCTGCGCATATAAAAAGGCGCTTCAGGTTTAGGGTTGCGTTAACTTTCGTACTCGTTCCAAATAGCCTTAGCGCAAATTCTTCTATGTACGAGTTCACGGTATATCAAGGAAGGTTTACATAGATCTATCTGTGTTCATCTTTACTGTTAATCTTCTACTTGTTATACTGTTATTCTTTGCTGTAATAGAAAACAGGGACTAATAAATGGTATCAGAGCCGATCGAGAGCTGATCAGAAGAACGTCTGAAGAAAAACTCTGTTTTTCTTTACGCTTTTGTTTCTGTCGAGTTCTTACTCTGTAATCTTGTTTCCTGTCGAAAAGTTGTAAAAGTTATACCTTTAGAATCGTCGTTTCGAAGCGATCAAGGTGTATACTTCAGATTTGTACTTCTGTAATTTTTGTACTCGAGATATCTCGAGATCTAGTTGTCGCCATCTCTATTTTGAACAGGTTCTGTCTAGTTTTTCGAGCTGAAAACTTCACCTGAGGATCTCGACATCATACTCTACCAGGAACTACCCTCAGATTTTGCTTACCTGAGTTTTTCACTTTGTAGGATTTCGACATTGAGGATCTGGACATCCAAATCTCGAGATCGAGGTTTCGATTTTAAGGTCTCGACTTCTGGTCCTCGACTTTTGATTTCTCGAAATCATATCTCGAGTTTCATTTCTCGACATCTCAAATCTTGAGATTTGCTTCTCGACATTTGAAATCTCGAGATTTCAAAACTCGACATTTGATATCTCGATATCAAATCTCGATATCGGGCCTCCTTTATTGAAATCTTGGATCTCGATATTCAGATCTTGACATCTGAATTTCGATATTCTGCCTTTGAAAATCTTTTGATCAAATATCTCGAACGGTCAGTTTTCTACAGCAATGGCTTCTGAATACAATGCCCAAGGGAACAGCAGTACTCCTCCCAGTCTAAGGAAAGGAGAATATCAGATGTGGAGGAATCGATTCCTAAATTTCCTCGAACACAAAGAAAATTCCGCTGCAATGCTTGAATCACTGCTTGAAGGACCAGCTGAGCTGATGATTTCAGTTGGAGGAGATCCAAAAAACAACCCACTTATCCCTCCAGAAAGGAGACAGAATGTGGCATCTGAATACACCGAAGCTGACAAGCTCAGACTTAGAGGTGATCTTATGGCCAAGACGTACCTCCTTCAAGCAATTCCAAACGAAGTATATGTGCTCATCGACAGCATGCAAACTGCAAAGGAGATGTGGGATGAGATTGAGAAACTGCTCCAAGGCACAAGCGTCAGCCTTAAAACCAAGAAAACAACCATCCTTATTGCCTATGACTCCTTCAAAGCTGCCCCGGGAGAACCATTGAACGAGACATACAACAGACTCGTCCAACTGGTCAATGAACTAAGGAAAATCAAAGTATTCAGGACCAACTTGGAACTGAATATAAGATTTCTATCCAGCTTACATCCTGCATGGGAAAAGACAGTAAAGGATGTCAGATCACGCATTGACTTGGATGAAATTGATCTCTGTACTTTATATGAACACCTAAAGCAATTTGTCAATGAGGTTGCTTGTGCCGAGGATAAACACAACACAAATTTCCTGGCTCTAGTGATGGAAGCTCAGCCCCGAAGGACAACCACACCACTGAAAAAGAAAAAGAAGAAGGTGGTGGTTGAATCAGATGAAGATGAGAGTGATGATGACAAATCTGACCTGGAGACTGAACTTGCAGACCTACAGAAGAAAATGGCACTGCTTGCCAAGAGATTTGCTAAGAAGAATAGCTCCTCCAACAAGTTGAGAACCTCCACCTCAAACTACAAATAGAAGAACCATGATCAAGGATCTTCTAGGAAGGCACCAGCAGCTGAAGATGCCCCCAAATGCTACAACTGTGGAAAGGCTGGACATGTCATCAAAGACTGTCGCCTGCCAAAGAAGAGGGATGCAAACTTCTACAAGCAGAAGATGTTGTGGAATAAGCAAAAGATGCTGATGGTACAGAAAGAAGAAGAACATTCTGCAGTGCTTGCTGAAAATGATCATTGGGCAGAAGACACTTCTGATGAGGAGGAGGAGGAAGAAAACTATGCCTTGATGGCTCGAGTGGAGGAAGAAGATGAAAGAAAGGGTGATGTTGCGATCCCCGGAAGTGAATGCTCTACAAGCTCTGTAAGTACCTCTTATCTCCCTTGCAATAATCAAAATCAGTCCTTACTTGATAAGGACAATCTTATTAAAGAACTAAAGGAGAGATTAGACAATAATCATAGGGTACTGAAACAGAATCTAGACCAAAAGTCTTCTCTAAGTGTTCAACTTGAAATTGCGAAAGAACAGGTCAAAAAGGTGTCCTCAGATTTTGAAAGTTTTGAACTTAAGATAGCTGAATTGACTAAGAAATTTGAGGATAGTGAACGAGAAACAAGCACAGCAAAGGCTGAATGCGAATTTTTGAAAAATAAAAGAAGAACACTTTTAAACAAAGTAAAAGAACTAGAGGATCTAGCTGCTAGGAGAGGTCAATCTGAACAGACAATTTTTCTAAATCAAATAAAGGATGACCGGTTCTACAATCCTAGAATAGGACTGGGCATAACCAACCCATGTAATCTAAAGAAAGTTAACTGTCTTCAGATTTATAACAAAGATTACATGGGACTAGGGTTTGGTGAGAAAATGTATTTTAGAAGTGATGAAGAAAACGCTGAAGAAGAAGAAGAAGAAGAAGAAAAGAGAAAGAACCCTAAAGCTGTGATTTCTTGTGATTATCCTTCTGTAAATGAAAAACAACTCACACGCGAAGAACCTAGTTCCTGCTTTAGTGAATGTCTTGACCCTTATGCAAAGGATATTCCACACATAGGACATCCTTTAGACCCACCCCCAAGAGTTGGTATCTCAAAAACTGGAGAGGAACCCTGTATTTTTCCAATGGCACAAAAACTCAAAAACCTCCAGAAAACTCTAGACAACGAGAGAGAGAGATTTGAAACAGAAAGGAGAGGTTTTGAGAGTAACTGGCAGGAACTTCTTCATAAGTTCAATGAATTAAGTGAGCAATATCATGCTAAAACAACCTCTCAACCTTCTTCTAATAATAAGCCTGAAAATTCTCACACCTCACCTGAGAAAACTAAGCTTTCAAAAGGTTCGTCCACTCATCACTCTTCTCCTTTGCACACAGGACAAGAAGTGAAGAAGGAAGAAGAAGAGAAGGTAGAGTGGAGGAAGAAAAGGAAGGAAATTGCTGAAGGGAAAAAGAAAGTTTTTGAAAATAAGACCAGCACTAGATCCAGTTCTATTTTGTACTTTAAAGTTAAATGTAATTCTGTCTCTGTCAAACAAACTCCTAGTAATTCAGAGAAACTCCTAGTATTTTGTATACCTTATATGAAATATCCCCTCCGAGTTCATTCAAGGAAACATCTTAATCGGCTTTCTAAGGAGGAAATATTTAAAACCCAACTTAAGAAACAACCATTCAATCACAAAGCACGTGTCTACTCTCCTCCCACAACAAATCACAGGTGGGTCTCCAAAAACAGACCCACCAAAACTGAAACTGAAAGGTGGGTCCCCAAGATCAGACCTACCAAGCCTGAAACTAAAAGGTGGGTCCCCAAATTCAGACCCACCAACACTAAAACTGAAAGGTGGGTTCCCATGAACAGACCCACCAAGACTAAAACGGAAAGGTGGGTTCCCAAAAACAGACCCACCAAAATGGAAACTGCTAAGTGGGCTCCAAAAACCAGACCCACTGCAAAAGCAGATCTGGCTATTAGAGAGCCCGCGAGAGAAAGATCTTTTGTTGAGAGAGCTGCTGACCTTGGATCACAGCTAAAAGCAAGATTTAAAAAGGTGTTTTTTGTTGATAAGGAAGGACCCATTCCAAGATGGGTACCTAAACCTGTTTAATTGTTTTGCAGGACGGTCATGTGTGGAACTTAGATTCTGGATGCTCAACCCACATGACCGGAATAAAACATCTGTTGAGCAACTACACCAACTGTTACGGAGGCAATGTCAGATTTGGGAATGACGCCTCATCTCCTATTCTTGGATATGGGGACGTCATCTGTGCCAGTGTCACCATCAAAGATGATTCTTTTGTCAAAGGGCTCAAACACAATTTACTGAGCATAGGGCAATTCTGTGACAGCGGGATGGAAGTGAGGTTCTTTGCAAGACAATGTTGTGTACTAGACAGCATGGGTAACACATTATTAACGTTCTATAGAACTTCAAATCTGTACACGATTGATCTGAAAAGCGTACAATCCACCACTTCCATCTGTTTGTTGTCCAAAGCTTCCACAGAACAGAACAACCTTTGGCACAGACGTCTTTCCCATCTGAACTTCAAGCATCTATCAATCCTGTCCTCCAAGAAACTTGTGAAGGGGCTTCCTCTGTTAAAGTCTTCCGCTAATAATCATTGTAGTGCCTGCAAAATGGGCAAAATGACGCGAAGCTCCCACAAGTCAAAAACAGTACCATCATCTACTCACCAGCTGCAGTTAATTCACATGGATCTGTGTGGACCTATGAGAGTCCAAAGCATCAATGGTCGCAAATACACTCTGGTGATCGTTGATGACTTCTCAAGGTACACATGGAAAAAAATTCTCCGTTCAAAGGACGAGGCAGCAGAAAACATTGTGACCTTTATCAGAACCATCCAGAAACTGCTACAGCACAGTGTTCGAATAGTAAGAACTGACAATGGTACCGAGTTCAAAAATCAAACTCTCACTGATTTCTATGAATCTCTCGGTATCACTCAGCAATTTGTAGCAGCTAAAACTCCCCAACAGAACGGAGTTGTTGAGAGAAAGAACATGACTCTTGTTGAAGCAGCACGCACCATGTTAATCCAATCCAGACTGCCTCACTTCATGTGGGCAGAGGCAATCAATACTGCGTGCTTCACCCAGAACAGAACATCCATTCATAAACTCTTCGACAAGACTCCTTATGAAATTCTCTTCAACAGAACTCCCAACATCTCTTTTTTCAAGATATTTGACCGCAAGTGCTTCATACTGAACGATCGAACAGAAAGAAGTAAGCTGGACCCCAAAGCCAGAGAAGGCGTGTTTATCGGCTACTCACTGCA